AGCGGATTACAGCATCCTTTCAGCCAGCTGACCAGCTGTGTGCAGCACAGGATTTAGCTCTGCTCGGCCTTTCTGTTCTAAATGCATGATAATCATTCCCATCCCGGGATTACACGTGGACCTCATGACGTCATTCCACCTGGATTGAATTCTTACTTTAATCTCTCAGTCAGTTTATTTTATGGATTAAAAATATTCTAAATAAAATGAGACCAGTTTCTTCTGACTAATTTAAACACTGCAGGTTTACCTAAACAACAAACTACAATCACTAAACTTTATTTCCCTTATGCTGGATTATAAATCAGTAATTTTCCAGATTAAATTGGGGTTTTTTTTGAAGGAGCCGCAGTTTGCTGGGATTACTCACCGAGCGGACCCAGCGGCTCTCAGCAGGACCAGCGATAACAGCAGAGCTACGACCCAAACGATCCCGATCACAAACACCCCGGTACCGACCTGCAGCACCGCGCTGCTCATCCCGAACCTGGAAGGCGGGTCAGTTGGTTCCCCGCTAACCGGGCTTCCTGCTGTTAGCCACAGAAGCTAACTGACCGGTGAGCGGCGCTATGTGGGCGGAGACAGCAGCACCGGAGTCCCGGTTCTACAGAGATAAAACAATCCGGGCGAAGAAGCTGTTGATCAAACGGATTTCTCCAGCGTCCGGTGCTTCCTGGTAACCACAAGCTTCGTTGTGATTGGATAATCGTGTATCCCCGCTGACCAATCACAGGCCTCCTTCATTATATACTAACAAAGAGCGGCTGCGCCTCATCAGTCAGCCCGCGAGGCGAACGGTGCGCCGGATGGGAGGGGATAGAGTGATTAAACACACTAACTAACCTGCTGCTCATCTGGGGAAGTTTAATCTACATAAAGATCTCAGCCTTAATAAACTTTAAAACTAACACCATAGATATCCTCCATTAACTACATGGAAATATGTATTTATTTATTTCATGATATGACATCCGTTTCCTAGTTAAATATATTTATGTAGTTTTTCATTTATTTATTATTTTCATGTCTATACCTATTATTTCTTTATGCACATTTTAGAGCGGATGTGACTGATTTATTGTTGCCTTTAAACTCAATAAATACGGGGGGATTTACTATAAGGCAATACTAGGCAGCTGCCTAG